CTTTCACCTTCAAGGTCTTTTCTCTGATTGAAATCTATCACTTGTGAGTTTTTGTCTTGATATTCTATAAGTGTGTGACTGTATCTTGTAAATCAAAATTAGTGAATTGTATTATATATATATAGTTATATCTTAACAAAATAAAAAGTGAGAAAATTCATTTAAATTTTATGAGGCTAAAATAGTCAATTTTTTATTAGAACAAAATAAGGTATTATTAAAATTACTCCCTCCCCTCCCCTCCAATCAATCCAAACAGGAGATCATTAAAATCCCTCCCCTCCCTTCCCCCTCCCTCCCCTCCCCTTTGTAGCTACCCTCCCCTTTCCTCCCCTCCCCTTCCCTTGATTAAAATCCCTCCCCTCCCCTTCCCTCCGTCGAGCCAAACATTTTCTAAACAAAGGATAGAGGATATAATTATAGAGATGTTGGGTAGTTTTATTTAAATTTTTTTAAGAAGAATTATAAATAAGGGGATTCAGTTAAATTTTATCCCCAAAAAAAAGGGATTCAGCTAAAGGCAATTTAATATTTTTAAATTTATATTTTGATACTTATTTTTCTAAATAATTATAATTTTTAGGATCTTCTTTCATAAATATCATTTCATCCATCTTTTTCTTAAATAATAAACATTATACACTCACATTACACTCACAAAACCTGCTTAAATATTAATTTCTTAATATAATATTTTTATATTATTTTATTTTATATTAAATTGTTATATTTTTTATATTATATTTTTACATATATAAAATTATTTTGCTATATTTTTTATTTTAAAAGATAAAAATATTATATTAAGGGATTGAAATTTAAACATAGTTAATTGCACAGTTACTATGTAAATTCATTGAGTCAGTATTTTTCATTAATGAAATCAAATATGTTGAGATTATGGGATAAAAAATACATTTTATAAATTTTAATGACAAAGAAGAAAAACTAATACTCAAATTTATTTAATTTATTATAATACATACAAAATGAGATGGGTTGAAATGCTATTTATAACTTGAATTCTCTAACCCTACTAATTAAATACATAATATTTTAGAAATCATGAAATTAAATGAAAAGATACAAGGAAAATAAAAATCTAAAAAACTAATCATAAAAAAAAAAGTCAAAAGAAATATTGCAGAATCATCTCACTAATCATCAAATATTCCTGATGGTCTTCAAATCCTTCAGAATCTCCCATTACTAAGGGTCCATTGGACAGCATTAATAGAAGACATACTGAGATACTAATTATTTTGCCCAATGCCTCTTGGTTTAATTTTTTTGTTTCATTAAACATAAAAAAATTCCATTGAAAAGAATAAATACTCCTTCCATATTAAAATATAAACTAAACTTTATCCATTTACGTTTATCAAGAAGCTAGTTAAAATCAATTTGAAATAATAAATATGTAAGCCATATATATTTTTTTAGATATGCCCTTATTAATGAAGAAAATAAGTAAAAGATGTAATAAATGAATAAAAAAGAAAAGAAAATATATGAGGATAAAATTTTAAAAAAACTCATTAAATACTTAGACAAAAGTGAATGTTATCTTATAAGAAAGCCAAGCTTCTATAACAAAGTTTAGCTTATATTTTGAATTAGATGGAGTATTATTTTGTTTCAGAATCATTTTAACGAAATACTATCATGTAAAGGGGCCCAATAGTTTTTATGTATTATTTTATTTTTTTAAAAAAACTGTCCTTTTATTAAAAAAAACAAAAAGACAAGCAGCTTGACTTTAATTAAAAAAATTCCAACATAAAAAATATTCAACAGATTAAAGTATTAAACTTAATTTAGCTGCCTAATCTAGTACTAACGCTTGGATCAAAGGATGCTGCAATACATTCTGAAGCAGTTAGGCGCTAACAGATTTTTTGTTGATGTCTTCTGTTTGTTTAATTTTCCCATGCTATAATTTTTCAAGAGCCGTTTGACAAACTCAGAGCCAAACCACGGTATGCTTCATTCAGCAAGGCGAATTCTCAGTTGTTTGATGTTTTTCTTAGGCCGATAAAGCCATCTTATTTAATAATTTAAACTAAATTTACATGTTTTTTTGTCTTGTCAAGAACATATGTCGGTGTATCCGCCTGATGCTTCGTATCATCTCAGATATGCGTAAATTTTTCACAGGTTTACTTGCCAAACCTGCATAAGTAGAATCGTGATTCGGTTTGAGTTCCAAATCAACTCGTAAAAAGGAAGAAATCGTGCAAAACTATAAATGTTTTTATGGGAAATATTAGGTTATTTATTGTCAAGTAGCTTGTAATGCAAGGACAACTTATGTATAGTTAGTGAGCATGTCAAATATTCCTCCGATCCTTAATATAGGTTCTTGAGTTAGTTTTAGTTCTAAATATAAGATTCATTTCTCATATTTATCAGTTTTCTCTAAATTACACCTATGGATATTTCCTCAACCATAATCAGATAGAAGAGGAGGATGGGTATTAAGAAAGATGATTATGGTGTTTTAAGAAAAACGCATCACTTTTCTTATGATTAACTAACTTACCTAACTTTCTTAATCTAATCAAATTAGTTAAATAGATCTTATATTAAGGATCAGAGGAGTAGTGTGTCAACAAATTGCTGAGCAGTAAAACGGCAAATATATAAATAAAGATCGTCTTCATTTGTAAGATAAGATTTGAGGTTCATTATTTTGTAACTTTGAGCTAGTGTTTTTTATTTGTTAAAGGATTAAGTACAGAATCGACGAGATTATTGTTATACTTAATTTCCCACTACTCTCCGTTATACGAAACATCACAAGAATTTGAGAGCTTTCTAGTAGAGTTCGAATTGTCAATTTTTTCTCTTGCCTTGATTTATTTTTCTCCCACGGTTTTCATTTTTATGTTTGGTACCTAGAACATTCAATTCGATGTGTTTCCTTTCACAAAAAAGAGTTGCGAAGGCTTAGACTCTGCGGATTAAGGGGGAGAATTAGTACTTAAAAGAAACTGTTTTCACGTCAATTTTATATATCGTAAAACTACTTCTAAAAAAAAATAAATTAGTCTTATATAAGTTCGTATCAACACTTGAATGGTTCATATTTGATTTTACAGAATATTTTTTTATTGTAGTTTTACATTATTCATATCAAAATTTAGCCATTTAAATTTAATTAATTATTTTTTAATTTATGATTTAACATTTTGATGATAGTTTTAGGTATAAGGTGCTTAAATACGAGCGCCCAGCATTTGATTTTTTTTTTTGTTTTTATATGTTTTGAAAGTTTATTTTTATAGAATTTCTATTCTAAATTGTTATTCGCAGTTAAGTTTGATTGTTAAAGATATCAGTTAAACTGTATAATTTAACAATCAAATCTAAAAATGGATAACAATCAAGGTATTTTATAGATAAAAACCAAAAAAAAAAACTGAGGTACTTAGTACTCTTTTATAGATACTTTCAAGGTATGTAAATATCTTATCTCATAATTTTATAAAAGATTAAATTTGAAAGAGAAGAAAAGAGGATGGGAAGGGAATATATGAGAGGTTGCTATTGGTGTTACTCAAGCAAAGGAAGGCTTAGGATGCATAAATGTTGGTCCCACCTATTCTGTTAAGCAAAAGGCTAAAATAAGCCATATGTGCAAATTATATCCTACTTTTTCTTCATTTTTAATACACCTCCGGTCCTAAATGTAAGACCCTTATACTAGAGTGTGTATAAGGGTCTTACATTTAGGACCGGAAGAGTACCTGAAAATAAGGAAATGCTTGCTGGGCTACTCTTTGAAAGATCATGTATCAATTTATTCTAGCTTGAGGGGTTTAACACATCCATTGGAGTTAGTAACAAAAATAAATCAAAAGGAAATTTTTCTGCAAAAATGAAAAGAAACTTAGCTGTTGAGGACTTAAATGTTCAAAACAAAAGTCAAGACATTGGACATCAGTCATCACTTGCTGACTTTCGGTGGCGAAAAGAAGAGTAACTGATTTAATTCACCAAAAAAAAGAAAAGAAAAAGAAATAACCGATTTCCTGTAAATTGAAGAACTCGCTTTTCGTTTAAAATTATAGAGTATTTTTTTAAACTATGCCTTGTATGTTTTTTTTTATTATAAAGAGACAACGTATTAAACAATGCGTTATATAAAGGTTTTTTTAAAATTTAATTACTAATGTTTTTTAAAAATATCCTTAATAAATATTAAAATTAAAAATAAATCATTCTCATATTTCTCACATGAGATATTATATTCATATTTGGACGTAACGTAATGTATATATGTGTTGGTTTGCGAGCATTTCTATAATTTAATTTCAATAATATGAGTTTGATGTACTAGATATACACACACTCGATCCATTTTTTCTTCTTAGTTTTTTTTTTAAAAACTTTTTTTAAAAGAAGAATCTGGACCATAAGCTTGCAATTTAAAATAAAAATGTTATTAAATTTTTATTTTAAATCATCTAGGGTTTGAAATACAAATCCCCTTTATATCTCACTCTTGATAACCAAGCCGAGATATACCTCACCCTTGATTTATTGCTAATGATACTTTACCCTACCACCCTTACAAAGATAATTAATGTAAAATTCACACAATAAATCTCTCTCTAAGAGCAAGACAGAGTATATTAAAGATAGGAGAATCCTTACATTAAGTTTTTCAATTACACACAGACATGTGTCTTATTTTTTTCATATAAATTTAATAATAATATTTTAAAGATAGGATATGCTTTGCATGTGAGTAGAGAACTTAACATAATAAATATAAGAAATTTGACCTTAAGTATTATCATTAAAGGTCTTATCATTTGATAGCACAATGAATAGTGATTCTCGAAGATAAGAGTAGAAAATAGTTAAAACTCACTGCAGCAGTTTAGATAGTTCAAGCTTTGTAAAACAAGTTTAGATAGTGGGATTATGCTTTGAAGTGTCTTAGTTTTTTTTTTTTTTTTTTTTAAAGGAGGGTGCATCTACTTTTAATGATGTGTTCAACCTAGACAGTGAATTTCTTATTTACCACTGAAATAATATACAATATGACTATCTTTCAGGATAACAAATAATTATTCTTTTTTTCTATATGATAAATAAAAGTATATATACAGCAATGTTCATTCCCTCTGGCTCTCTGATCTCTCTTTCCATATGAATAAGATGTCCATGTTCTTAAGGAAGTAAGCAATGGTGAGCAAGACAGCAAGTAGAAACACCCACCAACGATATCCATAGCCTGCACCTCCACTTTCCTCAGACTCAACCAATCTCTGATCTAAACCAGCATCCCTGCGAAAATAAACCAATCTTAAATTTCCTACAATCTTCATATTCACTTTAACCTTTGCATCAAAAGATTTGGTATTAAGTTTTAAAATATCCAAAAGTTATGTTCTTGTTGAACAAACTTGCAGCAAACACTTTGAAAGGAAAAGGCTAAAGAGAATACTTGCCTTGGAGCAAGCTGAGATGCAACAGTTGGAGGTAATGCTGGTGTTTGTTTTTGAGGCGGTTCAAATGGTGTTCTGGGTCGTGATACCGGTTTTGTTGGCTTTTGGATTGAAGTTTTCCCCGTTAGTATAGCTTCTACAGGCTCTTCAACAGGGACAGGAATATTTCTTGCCTGCAATGAAACAATTATTAAATTTGATGTGAAGAAAAGAATCAAAAGAGGGGCCTTCCAATTTCCGAATAACTCACCAAGTTCCTGAATTGGAGACTATGCAGCATGTGGATGTATCTTTCCTTCGCTAACTTCTGTTTCTTGTTCAACCCTCTCCAAAACCCATAAACTGATCCCATGTCCAACACTTTCTTAGCATAAATCTTCCATGTGTAGCTGCAAGTCATATAGAATAAATGAAGTTTGAGAATTTAACCCATCAAGTTTATTGAACTTATCTAGATCTTTTGTTTTCAACAAATTCATGAAATTAAAGTTTCTAATCAGGGCTTCTTATCTGATGCAAAATGAATCTGTGTCATGTGATAGTTAATGAGTCATCATTGAAAGTTTTTTAATGAATGAAAGATTAGATTGAAAAAAAAGAAAGTAAAAGTGCACATATGAAATTAAAGACAAACGTGAAGTTTTACCATTCATTGATACGTTGAAGACCAGCCATTGACATGTTGTCCCAATAATTAGAATCATTCTGGCATCTCTCAAAGAAGTCAGCAATCTTGTTGCTTGATTCATCTCCATCGAATGGGTTAATATGAAAACCAGAGATTCCATCAACAATAATTTCTGCAGGGCCTCCTTGATTTGTTGCAAAAGTGGGCAATCCACAGTTCATTGCTTCAATAACTGTGAGTCCAAAGGCTTCATACAATGCTGGTTGCACAAAAGCTCCCTTTGTATCTGCAATGCATCGGTAGAGCTCTCCATTGCGATGGCGATCGGTTTGTGCCGCTATCCACCTGAACTGACCTTTGAGTTGGTATTTCTCCATCAAGGAATGCATCTTCCTGATCTCTGCCATTTCTTCTCTGTCTTTGGATTTGGATGGGTTGAAGAATCCTCCAACAACCACAAGATTTACCAAATTCCTGAGCTTCTTGTTCTTCCCATACCACTCAACTAAGCCAGTGAGGTTTTTCACTGTATCTAGCCTGGCCATTGAGAAAATGATTGGCTTCTTCCTGTCTTCCAAAAACCCTCTGTTGCAGACACGTTCAAGTTTGAAAGAGGTCATTATGATAACATATGTATATATATAGTGATAAATTCTTATGTAAATCTGATGTTTAAACCAAATTAATCACCAAAAAACAAAAACATGCCAAAGGGGAAACTATTAAAACAGTCAATGACATGCGTGTGGGTGTTGTTACTGTTAGCTTTGTCTACCTAAAAATTATTCTGCAGTGATAAAAAGTGCGAGCACAAAACATGTAGGAGACTCACGTGTGTTCTTCATTGTTTTGCTTGCTGTAAAGTAGCTCCTCAATGGCAGGATACAATGAGGTTAATCGCTTTTGTTTTTCAGTGTAAGGGAAGTAGACAGATTGATCAGCTCCTGGTGCAGCAATATTGAACTTTGGATCGAAAACACTGATGCCAGAGACTACTCGAGAAAGGCCAGGCATGGTAAATGCAGTGTGGCTTTCATACTGTCCAGGCTTATCCTTACTGATGGTATAACAAAAAAAGAAATAATTAAGTTCATTTCCCAGTAATTTCATGTTTTTAACCATAGTCCATAGACAAAATTCAAAAATAAAGACCTACCTTCCAGCAATTTCTTGATAAGTGCTTGTTATGATGAAATCAGCAGCATTCATAGAGATCATATCAGCGGTGAACTGACATGAGAAATGATACTTTGCATCAAACTGCTTCCATTTGGCATCTGAATCCTCATATTTCGTCTTCTCCAAAGCATGAGCTATAGTTGCCTTCATTCATTGTAAAATCAAAAGCTTCAGTTCAGAGTGATGCTTAGACCTATTATTATCTCGCCAAAAATCAGGCAAGGTGATTATTACAACCTGAGTGACTCCAAGTTTAGTAGCCATTAAAGATGAAACCAAGTTTCCATCAGTATAATTTCCAATGATGAGATCAGGCTTCCCTTCCAAAATATCTATAACCTTTTCAGTAGCATCCTGTTAAAGGAAAAAAGACGAAGTAAATAACATGCTTTATTGTTTCCTTTTATTATGAAAAAGGAATGAAAACCATGCATGCCTGAGCAAATCTCTCTAGGTAAGGGTAGATATCAAAACGAGAAACCCATTGACGAAGAATCCCTTTCTCTGTCCAAAAAGGAACCCTAAGAATCTGAGAATACTTGGTGTTGGCAATAGGTTCCAATTCTTGGTTGCACTTAGTCCCTCGTGCATCCGGTATAAGGCGTGTAACCTGTGAATAGAACACAAAAAACTCTTGAAAAAGGAGGAATCTATAGGTAGCAATGAGAGAAGAAACAGAAGAACAAAATGATTTAGCCTACCACAAGAATCTGAGGCTTCACACTAAGGCCTTGCAGCTTTATTTTATTGAGTAACTCTTCCTCAAAGGCCTTTACTTGATCAAGTATATAAACCACCTATCAGAAATTGCAGCACCAACAAAAAGAAAAGATCATTCAGTTAGAAAGTGCATTGAATCTCTCAAATATACTTCAGATTGTGTAATGAAAAAGAGAGGGAAGAGAGTTTCATACTTGGCCTCCTGTGTCTGGAAGTCCAAGGACATCAGCTTGGCCAAAATATCCGTGAACTGAGAAAATGACTATGTTGAACATGTTTGGCAGTCTGCTGAAAAATGATTGCAGTTTCTCGTAGTCCGGAGCTTCCAGTACCTCGGAAAGCATTTTCATTGTCTCATTAACCCTTTTTGCAGTATCTCCCCATCCTCTTACGAATCCCCATTCCTTCAACCTGTTGACAGCAATCGAGATCGCAAGGATGGGATTAGTTCATTCATCTGCATTTGGTTTCTAAGAGTATTACTTTTGGGGAAAAAAGATCTGAAAGAATATTACTTTTGGGATCAAAATCAATTATATTTATAGTTCATAAATCCTTCATTCATGCGAGATTTTTCAAAGCTGGTTTTCCATTTTATCATGCTGAAGCTTACTTTTCTTTTCCTATGAGAAGAAAAAAACAGAGATGTGCTAAAATTTAGAAGCGTTGGTTTTAATGTGATGGTGAAGAGTTAACAGCAAAGGGTCACAATTCATAAATTCTAAGGTGTAAACACACATCATCTACAATATATATTGCTTTCTTTTATCTCAAGTCAATTTTTCCCCAGATAGCTAGGTTTCTATTGCATCAAAATGGAGGTAGGAAAGAGGAAGATGGGTATTGACCTGGCCTCAAAATTCTGGTATGGAGTGTCTTTGGGGAGTGCAGACAGATAAACACCAGCAACCTTCAATGCAATCTGAAGCTTGTCTACGGTATTCAAAGTGTCATTGATCATAAGATTCTGTAGAACCATATTTAAAAAATAAAATCAGCCACTGTTTATCTCTGATATCCATATCTACAAAAACTTGTTCTTGCCTGCATTTACCTCTCCATGATGGTTTAGGGCTAACAAGTAATCAAGCAATTTTGAACTTTCTGTGCTCTCACTCAGCTTTGAGCTCAAGAACTTTGTAGTGAAATCCAAACCTTTTCCAATGGAAGAAGAAAGAGCCATGCGAGGAGTAGAGAAGTCAATAGCCTCAAAATCTATTTCCAAGGAATTCTCATCGGTTGCCCTGAAAATGTATTCCATTTTCAATATTTTTTGAAGACAACTATTTCAACTCAAAAGACTATTCCTTCAAATTAACATCTATGAATAATTTCTATCTTTTAACCCAAAAGAGGGAATAACTATTTCATAACATTACCATTTCTCATCAAACACCATTTCCTTGAACTTCAAGTATTCTGAAATTTGAAGGGCATCTACTTGCAAGTCATCTCCATTCACTTTGACGAATTCCCAGTAGCCAGGATTAGGTCTAACAGCAAAAGCAACATAGGGTGGAACAACAGCTGCCTCCTGCAAATGTTTTCAATTTCATGTCGTCAAACTAGGTTTACTTCATTTGATGTATTAATTTGGCCGAGTGCCTTAAAAGAGACAGGGAAAAAAAAATGTTGCCATGAAACTGAACCTGAGTGGTACTGAGGATGAAACCAAATAAGCCATGTAAGAGCTTGTTCCTCTCAGTTACATCTTCAATTGATATCTCCATGTCCTCCATTATGTGTTTCCTTTTCATCATCCTTTTCCCACTTCCAAGAAACCTGTTTCATAGAAAGAAATTATGAGCCAAAAATTTTTTTGCCAACAAATTAAGAGCCAAAATGGTATAAAGAAAGGTCACCAAAACTTTTATCTTTTGGTCTCAGTAAGTGTATTTTCAATTCAGTACTCTTCACGAAACAACTAAATTCTTTGTACAAGGGGTTTGCTTGTTTATTTAATGAACATATGAGAATTTTTTCATACAAGTCATGTAATTAAATCCAATCTCAGCCTAATTTTACATGTAAAAACCCAACTTAACAGATGTTTAGATGTATATAATTTGTGGAGGGGAAGTATTGTGTTACATGAATTTAATTGTTTCCACAGTACAAGGAAAATCATGATGAGGTTCCAAAAAAATTATAATCACGGAAAAATTCCACTGACAAGTGATCAGCATGGAGTTTTTTTTTTTTTTTTTGGGTAATAGCTTTTTATTATTTTTGCACTAAAAGCTGTCATTGCATGCTGCTTTCTCAATTTTTATGAAATATTTCGGTAATTACATTTTTTTCCCTAGGATCTGATAGTGATTTTCCCCGAAAAGAATCAACTCTTTTGGAATTTGGAGGCGCAAAGCAAGCAGGTAGAAAGTCAATTTCTAGTATATTATAAATAACTGTTTTTTTATTGGGAGTATAAAAAAATTTGTAAAGAATGAAAGGAAAAGTAAACCTATTTGTCCGAGGTCAAGTTACAATAAAAAAAAAAAAAAAAAGGAAAGAAAGTTAAAGGAGATACCTGGCAAAGCAGGTCTTCATGTGGTATCGACTCTGCCTCAAAGCATCAGGCATGCTATCTGCAATTGAATCAGATCTCTTCAACGCAGAGTTGGCTGTTGAGGCCATTTTCAGAGGAAGAAGAAGAAGCAATGAGGTATAATAAGGAGAAAGACAAGATGAAGAGAAGTGATTGGAGAAAGTAGTTTATGGATTGTGTTATTTATAGTGATTGGTTTGAATGAGCAGAAGGAAAGAAAGAAAAAAAGAAAGAAAAGGTCAAAGCAAAGAAAAGAATATAACGTAGGAGAAAGAAAGTCCCTTGTGGGTTCAGTCTTTGAAAGTGGAGGGAAAGAATGTTAAGGAAGATGGAGTTTTGGTTTTGGGGTTATATTATTGTTCTTTTCTTTATTCCTCTATCTCCCATGCATCTTCTTTCATATTATTTAGGTTGTGGCAATTACAGAAAATATATTTTGGATTTAGCTTTACACTCTATCTTTATGGCTCTCTTCTTCTTCTTCTTCTTTTTGTAAAAAGTCTCTTTTTGGCAAATTTAACCTGTAATGGATTTTGATCAATTGTAGTGACGTAATGTATATGCTTCATATATCTGCTTGTCACCTTATTACTTGTACAAAAAGCGTAACATTGTATCAGGCAACTGAGACAAAACTTCGGGGGATAAAAGCTAAACATTTCCTGTGTAAGTTTATATCATGTTTTGATTTGATGACTTAACTTTAAAAAGTAAATATTTTTTCATTTAATCCTAAAATCATTAGGCTTAAATGATTTTTTTTGTAACAATCATGATTATTGTTAAAATTAAATTTAATATGTTAGTATCTGAAAATATTTTATCAACATTTAAGACCTCAATGTTATCATCTTTTGTTAACATGTTAAATGATAAAAAATATACTTTTTTAAAGTTAATAGATCAAATTAATACCTTTCATAAAATTGAAGGGTTAAATATATACTTTAGTCTAAAGTTTTTAAAAGGCTTATTGTAGCTTATAAAATCGCAAGTAAAACAGAATCATCAAATCCAATTAGTCTCCACTCATTAGTCGATCCAGCAAGTTATGAATTAAGCAAACTATTTTATTTTAAGCAGAGAAATAAAGATTAAAATATTATAATAATGATGAAATAGAAACTTGAACTCTTAAACCCGGGGGTGTGGTTGAGCGGTGAGGCTCATCCTTTTTTAACCAAGTGTTAAGAGTTCGATCCTCATTTTGGGTATAAAAAAGCTTTAAAACCCCGGGCCAGCTGTCTCACCCATCGAGGTGCCTACAAGTTAGCGAAGGGATTAGTCACTGGATCCGCTGATAGATATCCTAATGTTTCATTAAAAAAGAAAAAAACTTCAAATCTTAAAAAGTAAACCTGAGGAATTCACTTTGTCCCTTTTGGGCTCAACCAAATTGCAAATAGGTTATTCTTTCAACTCAAAATTTCACACTACCTCCATTTTTTAATACAAGAACTTGTTTAATTTTAAAATGATTAATATGCAAGTCTTTATCGTTTCAATTGGTCTAGGCTCCTATAATTTTTTTTATTTTTATCAAGTTCTTATAAATTTTTTTTTATCAAATCCTTTTTACCTTATTTTTAATTAGATGCTTGTAGTTTTTATTATTTATTCTATAAATAATAATATTCTATAAATCATAAATTATTACAATAATCTTATGTTAATATTCTTTTAAATTTTTAGTTAAGCATATAGATTATTTATTTTTCAATTCTAATTTTTATAATTCTAAAATTCAAATTATAATAATAAAATTTTCTAAAATTAGAATATAATTATAAATAATTTATATTTAATTATAATTGATTATTATAATTAATTATTAATTACTAAAATGATTCTATTAATTATTTTGTCCAATTATATAATTATTAATTTAAAAATAAAATTAATTTTAAAGAATAAAGTTAATAAATAAATTTTTTAAAATTATAAAGAACCTAATTAAAAAATAAGTGAAACTATCAAGATTTGATAGAGACAAAAAAATAAAAAGACCTAATTAAAAACAAATGAAAGTTTAAACACCTGATAAAAGGAAAAAATTTTATAAGACCTGATTAAAAATCAAATAAAACTATAAAGACTATAAGATTAATTATCTTTTTAATTTTTATTTTGATCCTAAATATAAAATTTCAATCTACTTTGATTAATATAAATATTTTTTAAAAAAACCATATATTTATCACAAATAACTAATTTAACTAATTTTATTAATCTATTTAGATTAGCCTACTAACTTTTTATATTAAGAACCACAAATAACATATTCTAATGTTTTAAACGTACAATACAGGCCGTACAATTTTTTAGCATCTAATATTAACAAAGATGACAAGTGATATTATCCATAAAATTACTTTATCCAATTTACGCGTTTTGTTGCGTATACAACGCGTGTAAATTTAGCACCTATTGATTCAATTTATTACCATAACAATTGATGTATGATTAAAGCGAAACTTAATTTAGCCCTATATATATATATCCCACAGCAACAAGCCAATTAATTAAAACAACTGAAACTACTAAATGGAGCTGAAATGTGAGCAGAAATAGAAACTTTCAATAAGATTCATAAAAACACGACAATTTCAATTGTATGACCGAGATACCTAGAACCCAATAAGAAGGGCCTGCAATATCAACGGATGCTACTTCAAGCGAACCGTGTCCCCACTACCATCGTCTGAAACAGTGACAAACTTGACCATTTCCAGGGTTAAGAGGGATTCGCACCATCGAAGTCTTTCATGAACTCCAAATTATGGCCATACAAACTTGAAAACAAGCATCACATGGCTTAACAATAAAACATAACCCTCTTCACATTCTCTTTAAGAGCAGGAAGAGGCCTGACCACAGCACTTGCACCAGGTGCACGAGTGCTACGTCCTGGACCAAAACCCCCTCCACGTCCAGCAGCAGCACTCATTGACTCGCTATCCGATGTAGCTGGTTCCATATAAAATCGAGCTCGGAATGCGGCCAAGTGTGCATAGTATGCAGGAGGCACTGCAATGTGTATTTAACCGGGGGGGAAAAAAATTAGAACAAGCAACTTATAATGAGCACTATACATGGAACCATCAACTATTTCCATTTATATGTTTCATGTTAAGAAAGACCCACTCACCGATTGAAACGGATCGCGTGCATCTTGCATAGCTGCAGAGTTTTAGATTAAATTAAAAAAAAAAAAATCACAATCAGCAACTAAATAGCTTTAAAGTTGCAAGTAAAATTGAAGATCATAATGATAGCGAGGTGAAGCAAAGCTGCAAATCAACAAGATCACAGCTTACGTGTAGCAGAGGTTGTTAGTCAGTGTCTGAAGTGCATCGGCAGTAAAATTGTTTTCATCCCATAATACATGGTAATGGGCAGGTCGGCTTGTACCCTGTGACAATTAGAAGTTAGAACATTTGAAAATTCTACCACAGGCTACAAAATAACATATCAAAGGGTAAGACAAAAGATTCACCTGTATCCCAGCATGGCTGCAGAGATAGAAGTCAAACTCAGTGGGATGACAAATTTTGGAGTCTACAACCGTACCTGCCAGATTTCCAGTGTCAGTTCAGCATCAGATAAAGGAAACCAGACAACACAGTGATGCATATTATTCCAAAATATAAAACCCACCAGGCAATATATTCCCACTACGGTCAATTGAATGCCGATCATGATGGTTGTTAGCAAACAGCCTCGTGTGATGGCGCTTTTGAACCACCACAAAAGTGACAGGAGGCTGATAGTTAGGTTCTAATGATGCACATGCCTAAGGTAAGAATCAGATAAGATGAATTAATAAGAATCAGAAATTATGCACATGCCTGGGGGAGAATTTTCATGACAAAAGAAAATAAATAATACCTTGCGGATAGCATCAAGCTCAAAAAGCAAGACTTGGTAAAATTGTCCTTCACTCACACCATCCCTGTAAATAAAACACTCATCAGAGCAAAAATAAAACAAAAGAAGCACCATGACTTGTGGCTAGTCTTTTAAAACATAAAAGCAACGTGCCTGTAAAATATGATGCGTTGTGGCTTCTGCCCTGTGGCTCTCCGAAAAGATATGAGAAGATCCCTTTAAAAAATTAAACAAACAACAACTTATTGAACATTAAACAATATGCACTAAAATTAACAAAATTTCATACAAATGAACAAAGAATGGAGAGGCAACACATGCATAAATGCATAGGGTCAGAGACATTACTTGATCATTCCACCAGTTACTGTCCCCCTCGCTGGATCTTGCCACTGCTTGAAAAGGTCTTGGATGAGCTCCTGCCTGTGTGCTTGAGCACAAACCAAACCAGAATACTTGGTAATTTCAGGCCAATCTTGAGAAGCCACAACCTAACATTCAACCAAGGTGATATTAGTTAAAATGCATAATCAGATAAAGACTAGGCTGATCAAGCTTAATTTCAACATACAGCTGCTATAGATGGACTAGAATCCTCCCCAGGGTGTGGGTGAGTAACATCAGCTCCAAATATAATTGTGGGTCGGTCACTAACTAAAGGAATGCGTCTTGAAAGTGCATCGACAAGCACTGTGTTCCTTCCACCAACCTTCACGTTGATTTTTAAAGCAACATTTGCAAGGTACTGCTTGTTCATTTTAAAGACATGTTTTGTTAAACAGCACTGGGAAACAACCCCAAGCTCCGTCTCACAAATACGTTTCAGATCACCTGAATAGCATGTCATGAATCCACGAATATGCTTAATATATAACAATAAAATATGAGATGCAAAACACAGTGCAAATGTCAATACCATAAAGAGAGCCATTGTTATCAGGCAGAATAACAATAAGCAGATCAAGCTCCTTATCCTTCAATTTTGCCTTGGCGTCATGATAGCGGGATTTCAGAACCTTCTCAACCTGGTCATGGCGGCCACTGATCACAGGAACTACTGGCTCTGGATTAAATGCCTAGATACATTCAATAAGAGAGAACATTTTAAGCAAAGGTGAAAGAAAGATTAAAAATAAACATAACAATCGCCCTTACCATGCCAGATATATAACACATCTGTGCCAGTTCATAACAAAAGCCACCGGCCACACTCTCTTGAACATTCCTTGAAAAATTTATGCAGATCCAGTTGTTAACAGTCCCCCCATTGACCATTTTCTGAAATAGTTAGAAAGTCATATACATGGGTGCATAGAGAAAAGTTACTTTACATCTATAAGCATATGCCACCATAGAATGATAGAAAAAACGTACATTCAGCCCCTTCCCTCCTGACCCCCACCCATATGCTACCCCACAACAAATCCGCCAAAATCAGAAAAACCTTTAAAAAGACAAATCCAAAGAGGATAACTGAAGAGATGTCTAGAACATGGTATAGTAAACTGATTAAACTACCTTATTCATCATATTCCATTGGCCAACTTGAGGGAGACAATCTTTTTCTCTTCCTGTATCATGATACTTCAGCTGCAGAAAGTGAAAGAATGTTTTCATTAAAAGGAACAAAAATCATCATTGCATAGACGATGATAATTACTAATATCAAAAAGAAATACCCAAGGTGCAGGAAGAATGCGAGCTTCAACTTGTGCAAGTTTCTCACTGATTTTGATCCCAAACTCTCTAGCATAAGGATCTTCACGGTATGCATTGTGATGAACCGTCTGAACACAGGCAACACAGAATATATTGTAAAGGGCATAAATAAAAAAACAATTATCTTCACACCAACCGTATGCATTTACCAGTGCAATGTGGACTATAAATGTACTGCCAATGTACTCTGGATTCTGAAGACCCATACCATGAAATAAAGCTTAATGGAAGAAGCAATCAATATGCACCTCAGCATTAAGACTTTGGCAGATCAAAGGGATGCAATGCAGGCATCAAAGTTCACATAATGAATTGAGCCAACAGCCACATAAGACGAGCAGCCAAACTGGCTTCAACAACTACAATATAAACTAAGGACCAAATGGTGGACAAAAAAAATATAAAGAAAAACACAAATAAACAAAATATCCAATTTGAACTTCACAGCGACCAACATTCTCCTGAATGATTTGCATCACCAAACAAAAGACACATCCACCTACACAATAATTAAGCAATAGAAGGCATACCTGCATGATATCACGCTCCCTATCAAGAGGTCGCTGACAGGTGACTTTAAGCAGAGCAGTAATCTGCCTCTCATTCAACCTCTTTGAGTACCGTTGACCTTCCACAATCTTGCAAACCTATATCCAGGGCAAACAATTAGCATGCGCTCTGCAATTTACACAAATTCATAATTCACAAATGTTTACCTCCATTGGCAAATAGTTTGGTCTATTTGTATTTCCCACTTGCAAGCAAGGCCACTGAGTATGTTGAATGACAAATCCGTACGTCTCATAAAAGTACTCCACAACAGATTTCACAGTCCCCCTCTCATCAACAGGGAATCTACAATCATTGACAACCAAAAACAAAAAGAACATCAACAGAAGTTTCTCTAAGATGGGAGCAAACACGAGCGCACATAAAATAGTATTATTACTTACGTCAGCTCTCTAGTTGCCTGTGATGTCAGGCCAGAAATGCGATATTTTCTTCTCATGTTTCCACGGTGTGTTACTTCAACTTTGACACCACGAAGTGCTTTTTTGATCTATAATTCAGAAAATTTAAAAACAAATGCCAATTTCTTATCATGCATACTAGAAGACTGTTTGCAAGTTGAATAAACCAAAAAATTGCCAGGATGAAGTCACAGAAGAGGACTGATTTGGAGATTCACTAGTCCCACCATACTATACAATTGTATAAAATGAGTGGATGAAGGATATGTCTGAAGCCAAACCTTTACACGGTCAGCATCGGATAATGGACGGGTGGTGACATCCCTGTTCAGCAGCTGAGTTACAAAATCAATTACTGGCAAGGGTTCAATAAACGCTGTTGACGACATATCTGCAAACCCACAAATGAACATGAAATTTTTACTTTTCCTTGCAAATGACTTGCCAGAAAACTTCGAAGTATTTCCTTTGAACTAGTATTGAATGCCTTATACTTGTAATCTACCAAGTCAAACCACTTAATGATAAAATCAACAAATTTTGTAATGTTCCAATCAACTGAATAATTTTCATGCGATAAAAAAAATTCAAAAATACAGAGGGAATAATGGGTTAACTGAAAAGTAATATAAATATGACATAAAACATTAACACTAGGATACTAGCATTACGTAACATACCAATGTTGAGAGATAACCCCATCTGAGTTGGACGAATACTTTGGTAAAACCCACGCCAGCTCTCCAAACCCTCACCTAATGGTTGCCTCCTACCTATATCAGGTGAATAGAAAGATCTTCCGACAGGACAATACCTACACTACCAAAATCCAGTTAACAATACAAAAAACCAAATACACAACAGGACAATCAAGAGATCAAAATATACAGAAACCAGGAAAAAACCCATATCCAGTACCTAGTGGTTGGTAGTTCACGAAGAACAATGTCAAGAACCTGAAGAGCTTCCTGAGGTGCATCTGTTTGTCTTCCTTGCAAAAACATTCCCAAGTGATGAAGGTCAGCTCGGGCAGCTAATTTTATCACAACTTTGAAATCCCTCACTCTCCTGCATTGAAATACAAAGCAGCCCCAAAAAAAAATTATAATATGAACAGTGAATTAGAAAAAAAAATTAATAAAACCTGAGTAATAAACATGAGTAAACCTTTGAGCTCCTGCTCCTGCTCCTGCTCCATCCTCTTCATCAATGAGAGTGATTCTAAACTCATTTGAAACAAAAGGAAGAGGACCAGCAGTGTACAGGCTCTTGCGACCATCATATGCAGGTAGTCTCATGCCTAGATGAGACTCACGATACAGCCTAACCAGCTCCTCCATAACAGCACGGTTTACACCTCTGGATGGCACTTCTGGAGTTATGGTTACCTACTCCCAAGAAGAGCAGCATATCAGAAACTGCAAATACAAAGCATATGAAATTTATGCCAATCAAAAGAAATCAGAACTTACATCATACTGGTGAAGATCTTTGTTTGGTAACTCAGCAAAGAAATGGTTAGCTTTGACTATACATCTTGTGCCAAAGCTACCCTTTCCAGGCCGAAGGGGAAACCTCACTGATTTACTTGAGGCTGGTGGGGCAGAAGAAGCTTCTGGTTGAATGGTTAACTGCTTCATTTGCTGTTGCAACTGTGTTGTCTCAGAAAGCTGTGAAACAGAACTGGCCTCAGATGTAACAGCCTGAGGAGTCACCCCAGCTTGATATGAAGCTGAGGTTGCTTGGTGCAGCTCGGGAACTTCTGGTCGGGATGGGACACCATATGAAGGCCCTCCAGCACGTCCGCTTCCGCCCGCACCACCCCGACCACCACTAAATCCACCACGACCCCCCTGTTGAAAAGATCCTCCCCTCCCTCTGCCTTGATAATCAGGGGGGCCACCATACTGCTGTTGGGGTAACCCACGACCACGTCCTCCACCATAACCCCCCCCCTCCTTGAGGATACCAGCCTCTACCTCCTTGGGGTCCACCAGCTGACTGCTGTGAGCCGCTGTGAGCACTCCTTTCTGGAGGGCGCTGAGAACCTCTTCCGCTTCCCCCACTTTCGTGAGTCTCAGAGCTTTCACCTCCGCTAGGACCTTCAGTTCTCTTCTTTCTCACCATGATGAAGACTGGCTGTAGAAAAAAGAATCAAGAACTTGTTGGAACCATCAGGAGACACAGTACACAACTGAAGTTCAAATACACTAAAAAAAAAAAAAAAAATCAGTTCTCAGGTCCGAATACTTTAAAACTTAAATAATAAGATACCAATTTCATTTGAAGGAACACAGAAAAGAAAAGGAATCAGTAAAGACTAAAGAAAAAACTTGTAGTTTATTAATATTAAATTAATCCAAAAACTAAATAACTGATTCTCAAGACACGTTGCAGAGGTAGCAACAGGCATTATATGAAAAACTCCCGAACAGAAACACCTGTCACTAAAACTGAAATCTGCAGAAAAAATTACTCAACCATCTAAAAAGTAAACAGCATACATACATGTTCTATACCAGCATTTACCTAAATGATAAAAATTCAAAATAGATAAAATACAAAAACATCTATAATTCTATGGAGAGAGGAAACCTCTCTACGAACAAAACTCCAGAATAAAACAAAATGAAAGTCACTGAAAACACGTACATCCACGAAGTCCTACTATCTTAATCCAGGAGCAGAAATGGTAAAAGACTAAGTAAAACCTCAATAACCCAAAACCTAACATAGATCGGATGCCCAAACACTCAAAACCACATCAAGTAGAGTCCAGAGTAGTAGATCTGCACTGAGAACATCGACAGGCACAACAATAACTCAAGCCCACTCAGAAAGGTGAAAAGACGGACATCCCACCTTCAAACGGTACAAACATTACCACAATGAAGTCCTAAATCATCAGAAGCTAACCAACAACAGAACCCTAAAAATCCAGTGTGCTTTACCTGCAAAATCCGCTTCTTCTGAAGAGCAACCGGTGATCGTTCGGTGTCTCAAAGCCCTGGAAAACCTATCAGTGTATTAGATTAGAGTATTAGAGTATAATACAAAGAACGACGAAACCGCACTACAAACCGCGCACCTCTCACTCCGCTTCGCTTTCCAGCTAAACAGAGAAACCGTAGGAGGAAGCAATTGAGAACCTTGCTGAGTTATCCTTCTTATAAAAACTCCAAGGGTAGGTCTTCGAAAATGACCAGTCTGTCCCTACATGCTTGCCGTCGGAGACGTGGGACCCACCAAAGTTGAGCCCCGGCACTACCACGTGGATGATGACGTGGTCACTTGGAGGGTTTTGAATGGCTTACATTCCCACGTGGACCATGACGTGGATTGCCGGGACACATTGTGTTGGTGGGCCCACTAACTTTGTCGGGTACAACGAGGGGTCGAGCCACATGATTGGCCCACGACGGGTCATGAATTCTCGATTGTGCCACAAAAGCCGACTGGGTTGGCGTTCACAACACGCGCTTCGACGGAACAATATATTGTACTCGCTTTGTCTATGGGGCACGTGTCCATTTGCCTAACCGTAACCGCGAGTTCCACGCTTCGCGTGTCCTGCTGGGTTGTTTTCCAGCGTTTCTTACAAAAGAGGTCAAATGAATTAATCATTGTTAAGCAATATTTAATGGAAATCATTAACGTTATTGATAAAAAAATAATTACTCCCTCTAATGATATTATTATAAGACTTCTTCTGTAAAATTGTGCCAATCAACAAAATCTATTAAATAGAGTACAGTTTAAAATTTTAATTTCTCTCAAAATACATATAAATTTTTAATAGTGTCCTTCAATGAATATAATAGCCTCAACCCAAACTCACACTTAATATAACATCATTGTGGACAAATTTGAAATATTTTTTTTTTGGTAAAAGAAATAAGTTTATTAATGAGACTTTGTTTTTTGCAGAACATTTTACATTTTGAAACATCTGAAAACTCTAAAAAGTGTCTTATAATTTGAAAGTGCCAAATTTCTCTACATATGACTTTTTATTAATTTTACAAGTTAGCTAAGATGACCTTATATTTAGGTTTAAAGGGAGTATTAACCTCAACTGATTATATTTATTAGTTGTATTTTTTATTTGAATCAAAGAAGTTTTGGAATTTAAGTTTGTTGATAAAACTTCACGTGCATGTTGTTTTTTTAAATTTTTATTATTTTTAATTCAATAATGCTGTTCGTGAAAGTATTTTTGTGGATGCCCGATACCTTTGTTTTTTCATATTTCTTACTTGTTACTCCTCTGGTTCTTAGTATAGGACCTAATTGTTGAGTTGGTTTTTGTCCTAAATATAAGATTTATTTCTTATATTTATCAGTTTTCTCTAAATTACCCTTATCGATACTCTCTCAACGATAGTCAAGTAGAATGGGAAGAGGGGGTATTAAGAAATATGGTTATGGTGTTTTAGGAAAAACTTGTCATATTTCTTATAATTAACTAACTTACCTAACTTTTTTAATTTAATCAAATTAGTTAAATGAGTCATATATTAAGAATCAAAGGAGTATAATTTTTTAAGACTTGTGATTCATCTTCCCCACAATGATTCATAGGATTCATATCTCTTTAATAATTCATTATTTCTTTTTCTTTTTAAGCTATGTAGATGTTATAATCCTAGTCGATACACCGTCAAGTACTAAATGTAAAGAAATAGTCCATTTCAACATACCCAATCCTGCTGATGAAGTAAACCCTTTTTGAATGATAAGAGAATGGCATAACGCAGGAAAATAGGACAGCTTTACTTGGAGTCTCATGCTTGTTACAAATATTAGAATTGTAGAGATTTTCACATCACAATGACAGTACATATGCATAACTAATAACTAATGTTTAGTAAGTGGTTAGAAATGCGATTATTATTATTTTTGGATGGAGTAAAATTAGCTGTAAGGGTGTGTTTATTCTTTGATTTTTCCACGCTCCATATTCAATTGGAGACTAGTCTCTACTATCAATGATGAATACTCAAAATCTCACCGAAAACAAATCTTATTTCATCTAATCTAATAGTTATTAGATAGGCTAATCAACTTATTAAAAAAAAAAAAAGATGAATTGGGTGATATAAACTTTTTACTCCGGAGCATGCACGCAAATCAAGCATGAACAAGGGAGAGAAAGATTGAGATAACGAGGAGCAGTGCAAAAAAATTAATCCTAATTTACATCATCTACATCTAGCCTCAAAAAAACATCTCAGAATTTATGCCATTTTGACAAGTTTTACTTCCAATACAAATAAACTATATTTTACCGCATTTATTAAATGAAGGGTCACATATTTATTATATTTCAATTTTATAATAAGAGAGAGAGGCGATCAGGTTACAACAACAAATTTTCAAGGTTTTATTTGTAATTGTAATATATATGTTTTGTTCTTTTGGAGTCAAATATTTAATGAGACTTTTTGCATTATTAAATAATATAAACTAAATTAGAATATATTTAAATTTGTTATTTAATATAGAAATATATATGATAAAATCCAATGTGTTTAAATCTAAATCATACTTTTTTATTAATTAATTGATATTGGAGAGATTATGATATTTCTATTACAATTAATTAATGAGTATTATGAAATATTTAATATATATTATTTCTTAAAATGATCAAAGAGTGCCTCCTCCAATTATTTTACATCCTAGTCACTGAGTTTTAGGTTTTCAATCCGTCCTTTAATCTATTCTCTCTCTTCCCCTTTAGGCTTTAACCCGACCTAGGGCTTGTACTTTTGGTTTAATATTAAATTAAAATAACTTGATCCGATAATTTGGTTTTTTTTTAAAGAGTGGATATTTTCTCATAATATAGTGCCTCAAAGACAATAATAACAAAAATCTTTGTTCAGGAAAAAAAAAATTCATGGTTCTTTGTAAATTGTGAATTGCGAATGAGGCCGAACTTAAATGTTTCATTTGGAATTAATACAATCAATTATTGAATTATTTTTTGGTTTTCTTTTTTTTTTTGCCAACAATTATTTTTTGGATTTCTTACGCGTCGTACTTGACACCGTGATATGATGTTGATCAAAATTGAAGAAAAACAAAGGAGCAACGGATAAAATTAGGGGGAAATGGTAGAGTTTTTAATCATTATTTGTTTTTATATGATCATATATTAAGTTAGATTTGAGCATTCAAAAGTATCTCCCCTACATTCTATACTGTTTAATTTATATGTAATAAGAATATTATATGTCAAAAAACATACAATAGGAAATTGTATAATATGTTAAAAAAAACTCTAATAAATACAAAATTAATCTGCAACGATTGTAACAATCAAGTAATCAACGTGCTAGGGTTAATCCAAATGAAATAGGAAACAACACTATATGGCAAATAGAAAATATTTTTTAATTACAGGGTAAGATTATGAGAAGGCAACATGCAAAAGATCCCTAAACCATCGAGGCAGGGGTACATATTTTATTTATTACTATATTAAATTTTGAATATTTGTACTCGTCCGGTTTTAAATATAATACCTCTTTTGAGTATTATATCTAGATTTTCCAGATATTTAGTTATTTTAATTTAAATAAAATATTTTAACCCTATGTTTAGTATGAACAAAATAGAGGGAAATGTGGAGGGAAGGAAAAAATTTTAATAAACTTGATTTAAAATTTTTTTAAAAATAGGATTAAAAGCTTTGAATTAAGACTCTTTTATCTTACAACTTTTTCTTTATTATAATTTTAAAACCTTACTTTTTTAATTTTCTAAATCTAGCTTATTAAAATTTTTCTTTTCCCTTCTTTTCTATTTTCCTCATACCAAAAAGACCCCAGATGTGACTTGCTGGTTAGTTCTGCTTAACCCTTGTCTGGTTATTTATCTACTTGATATTATTCATGGTGTATTGAATTGTGCAAGAGAGAGAACATATGGTGAGGAGAAATAATTATTTAAAAAATGAGATAATAAACATATTAAGTATTAAAATAAGTAATTGATAAGAGCAAAATAGACAACTAGCCAAGAAATTTTGAAACATCATGCAAATATTTCTTATATGTAGGGACGGTAAAAGTAATAATTATTTCTTATAAAAAAAAAAGGGAAATTATAGGATTGTTATATGCTGGTTATTGATTTTTTTTTTTGTCATTGAAAATCCTAATATTCAAAATCCAACGGTTCACTTAAAATCCATTTGAAATAACTTATAAATAATTTTTTAATAATAATTTATAAAATACGAGATAAGTATGTGAGATAAATTTTATCTTGATTTATATAAAAACTCCAAAGGGAGCTTTTATAGGTAAGCTAATAAAATCCTAATTATTATAAATCAATAATAACATTAATCAAATCAAATCACATTAATTGCATTCACACATCAAAATAAAACTTTCACAGGTCTCGTGTTTTCAGGTTTCATTTAGAACCCTAATATCCCAAGTCAACTATATGTTCCATGTCAAGTAATTCTATACAACTGCACGTATAAATGAGAATATTCTATTTCCTCTGAATACATACAAGTACACACATAAGAAATCACGCATAGCTTGAATTCAAATTAAAAAGTATTGAATTATTTTTTACTTGATTGTAACACAAATTTATTAAAATGGTGAAATATTGCAGTTTATGATGCAAATAAATGACGTGTCCAATCCACCTTACTGAAAAAATTAACAAGGAAAAACAGTGCGGTGTCTTCAATGACTTCTCACATTCTAAACTTTGGGCCTTTCATCATCTTCTTGTTTTTTACTTGTTATTATTGGTTGTGGTATTAATTATATTACCTCCGATCATTAATATAAGATATTATTTGATTTTTATTTTGATCATAAATATAAGATCCCAATTCATTTTGTCTTTCATATTTATTTGATTTTTTCCAAGATAGTCCTTCTAATAATTTTAGTTTTAGCCAACATACTTGATTAGTAAGGATATTTTAAGAAATATAACACTTATTTATTACAAATAACTAACTTAACTTCTTTCTTTAATCCCCTCAAATTAGTCAACTAGCTCTTATAATTAGAACCGGAGGTAGTACGTAGAATCTTCTATTGCATGTTTTCATATACTCCCTCCATTTCTTAT